GAACCAAAGGGTTTGGTTTGAACTAACGCGTCCTGGCGCACACTTTCACTTTCAAAACAGCTGTTCAGTGGAGTAATGCGCCAGCGAGATCATACTAATGAAGTGAGTGATATTTAAATCCCTGCTTCATTAGCAATTTCAGTCGCCTATATTTGCATCCCTAGTTCGAACTAAGGTGCAAGTGTAGACTTACCCTAAGAAAGGAGAACTCTGAACAGACTCCTGTTACAGTCCAATTAGCGGTATGAGGTACGGCATTGAATTTTTTTCCACTGCAAGAAGGAACATGAGCCCTATTTAACTATTTTCTTTGTCCAAAACAAACAAATGATTAGGGCTGGTTGAATATATGTTCGATATGTATAAGAACAGCCATACTGGGTCAGACCAAAAGTCCACCTAGCCCAGTATCTTCAGACAGTGGCCAATTCCAGGTGCCCCAGAGGAAATGGACAGAACAGATAATCATTAGGGATGTTAAAATGTGTGTATTTATGTAAGCATGTAACTGCTGAAAAAAATTCAGCAGTTAAACATTTACACACAGGAAGGCAGTTCCTGCAGTGCTGCGTGCATACCTCCCCCATGCTGCAGCCCAGGAGAGAAGGGCAGGTGAGAGCTGCTGCATGCAGGGAGCAAACAACAACAGTGATGTTGTGGTTGGTGTCTGCTACAGGCCACCGAATCAGGTGGATGAGGTAGATGACGCTTTCTTCGGACAACTGAGAGAAGCTTCCAGATCACAGGTCCTGGTTCTCGTGGGGGACTTTAATTACCCTGACATCTGTTGGGAAACCAATATGGCAGTACACAGGCAATCCAGGAAGTTTTTGGAGAATGTTGGGGATAACTTCCTGGCACAAGTGCTGAAGGATCTGACCAGGGGCCGTGCACAGCTTGACCTTCTGCTCACAAACAGGGAGGAACTAATAGGGGAAGTAGAGGTGGGTGACAACCTGGGAAGCAGCGATCATGAGATGGTAGATTTCAGGATCCTGACCAAAGGAAGAAAAGTGAGTAGTAAAATACACACCTTGGACTTCAAAAAAGCAGATTTTGACTCCCTGAGGGTATGTCTACACTACCCCGCTAGTTCGAACTAGCGGGGTAATGTAGGCATACCGCACTTGCAAATGAAGCCCGGGGTTTGAATTTCCTGGGCTTCATTTGCATAAGCGGGACGCCACCATTTTTAAAACCCCGCTCGTTCGAACCCCGTGCAGCACGGCTACACGGGACACGAACTAGGTAGTTTGAACTAGGAAGCCGAGGGTACTGAGGGAGTTGGCAAATGTCATTGAGGAGCCTTTGGCCATTTTCTTTGAAAAGTCATGGAGATTGGGAGAAATCCCGGATGATTGGAAAAAGGCAAATGTAGTGCCCAGCTTCAAAAAAGGGAAGAAAGACGATCCAGGGAACTATAGGCTAGTCAGTCTTACCTCAGTTCCTGGAAAAATCATGGAAGGGATCCTTAAGGAATCCATTTTGAGGCACTTGGAAGAGAGGAAAGTGATTAGGAATAGTCAGCATGGATTCACAAAAGGCAAGTCGTGCCTGACCAATCTGATTAGTTTCTATGGTGAGGTAACTGGCTTTCTGGACATGGGAAAGTCAGTGGATGTGATATACCTTGACTTTAGCAAGGCTTTTGATACGGTCTCCCACAATATTCTTGCCAGCAAGTTAAGGGAATGTGCATTAGATAAATGGATGGTAAGATGGATAGAAAGATGGCTAGAAGGCCGGGCCCAGCGGGTAGTGATCAACGGCTCGATGTCAGGATGGCGGTCGGTTTCTAGCGGAGTGCCCCAAGGTTCGGTTCTAGGACCGGTTTTGTTCAATATCTTTAT